TCAGTTGGTTGTAAGAATGAAGTATGTGTACCTACCTTTATTCTATAAATGTATTGCTGTAGCAGAATGTCACAGTAAGAAAACTGAACTGCTGGTTAAGAAATTTGGTCTGTTGTACATGAAATAAGCTTTTAAACTCTACAGAGTAAAACTTTCTACTCTACAAATGTGTCAAAAGGCATACTCAAATAAAATTATAAAATTCTAATTTTACTATAATTGTACAATAAAGAATTTGTAAAAGCTCAAGGGATTTTTATTTGTTTTGAAGTTCATATTTTTTTTTAAACTTGGTAATTGTATAGTATTTCTTTTAGTCATTTAGAAAAATGTTATTCATTATTCTTTTCAAAATTAGAAGCAAATTGCACATGAATAATTTTTGTCCTCAAAAAAGTTCCAGGTTACTTTGAATTACATAAATTGTGCATAATTATATATTTTAGAATATACCTCAGACTCCCAAATTTTCAGAAGCATAAACTAAATGCTACATTTGTTCCCTCTAAAAAAGTTAGTGTTATTCTTCTCTTCATCATTGATATGTTCTAAATTATCCTCATAAAATAAAACATAGTATATAGAAAGTGGTTAAATGATTGGTACTTAAAAAAAAACTTATATTTTTTAATGACTAAAATTTTTCTTTATCCATTTGTTCTTAAACCCTAAGAGTTAAAGGGTTTCTAAAGTCATGTTGAAATATTTAAAATAAGATTTAAGGTGATTTATACATTGCTACATCAATTTTAAGGATCTAGGAAATATCAATTTTATTTTATGGATAATCTAGAGGCCCGATGCATGAAAATTCATGCACTGGAGAGGGGTTCCTTCACCCTGGCCTGCCCCCTCTCACAGTCCGGGAGCCCTCAAGGGTGGGAGGCGACCCTGTGATAAGGGGAAGGCGACGCTCCCCTCATACCTCTGCTGCTGCAACTACCAGCAGTGCAAGCCTTGGTGGGCCCTGGTTGCCTCAGCCTCGGGCGGCCTTGGGTGGTTGGGGGGCTGAAGGGACTGGGCATCACCATCTTGTGGTTGTGGGTGCTCCATATTTGAGGGAGGGGCAGTTAATTAGCACATTCCCTTCTTATTGGCTGTGGGCTCTGCCATCTTTGCGACAGCATGAGGGTCAATTAGTATGTTCCTTCTTTATTAGATAGGATTACATTTTGCCACCTCACATTAAAATAATGACTGCCTGATACAGTTTTGTGCTCTTTCCTCTGAAGTGGGTTTTCTATATATCAAGGCACATGTCTCCTTGCAGTGTACTCTATGACAATGGTGTGAACAGAGTGCTAAGGAAGTAGAGAGAAAGGAGCCTAGGAAGGTTCTTTAAAGAGGCAGTGACATTTAAACTGGCCCTTGGAGGATTAGTAGAAATTTACTTGGCAGAGAAAGGAGAGTACAGAGTATTCTCAAGAAAGAGAGACTATTCTGCTGTGGATAAATCATATTTATTGGTTTTTTTTGTTAAAAGCTATTAATGTTAGAAAATGTTAACAACATTTGAGCAATATAAGATGTCTACTTTGATCTTGTAAGGAGGTAGGGTCTAAAAATGGTCCTTATCACCTGTAATTTCAGTACTGGTAAATTATTTATTAAACCATTCCTTGGAGGGAGGTCTGGGATCTCCATAGAAGGAAAGAATTGACTGAGAAATTTATCTCCAACTAGTGTAGAGAAAGAGAAAGACTGGTTTCTTCTGATCTAGGGATTGAGATAAAACACTAAGTTGCTTATGGAAGACCATGTAAGAGGGAGACTACTACTTTCCACTAGCAGAAAGGGCACTGAAGAAAGGAAAATGTCTCTTTAGAAAATAGAATTTAAGAAAATCAGCAGTGGCCCTAACTGGTTTGGCTCAGTGGATAGAGCGTCGGCCTGCAGACTCAAGGGTCCCAGGTTCAATTCTGATCAAGGGCATGTACCTCGGTTGTGGGCACCTTTCAGTAGAGGGTGTGCAGGATGCATCTGACTGATGTTTCTAACTCTCTCTCCCTCTCCCTTCCTCCCTGTAAGAAATCAATAAAATATATTAAAAAACTAAAATAAGAAAAACAGAAGTGTAAAAGTCCATGTATAATTCTTAATATAATGGAAACTAATAGTCTTTTAAAATTGAATGACATTTATGCTTAAATAAATTATGATTATAAATGTTGTGTTTTCTTTAAAAGACTATTTTGAATAAATGAGATGGACACTTGATTTGTATTTCTGTTTGTCTTCATCCCTTTCATTTTGTCATCAAATATTTATTGATTTTTCTGACTTTGTATATATTTTTATTTACTTTGAGTTATCCCATTCATTCTGGGAAGACAAACTTAAAAATGTAGGAACAAGGATTTGTGCCTGTAAATGTAGTTTCCATATGTCACAGTGCTAACTATACTACTCTCTCATATAAAGAATCTTATTCCATGAATTTTGTCTTATTTGGGAAACTTTTTAATAGGTCTATAAACTAGGGATGATGTAATATGACTTTTGAGGGAAGGCACCAGATTGAAATATTATTTTCTTCGAGTTTTCATCAATACTTGCCATTTGGTGAAGAGAACATTCTATTTGTTCCAGATTAGTGGACTGATAGTAGAAAACAATTTTCCCAGAAAATTTTTTCTCCTATTAATTACAAGACTGTGAACCTTGAAAAATCTTAAGCAGAGGACAGTGATCTTTATCTGCTTTATTCACTGATATGTCCAACCACTAGAACAGTGCCTTTGTAGGTATTTAATAAATACTTGTTGAATGAACTAATCTCAAGCACACCTTTTAATCAATAAGTACAGCTTTTTAAATTATCCCTATTGACCTTTGCTCTGAACAAAGAGCATAATTGTTTGTTGGAGTAGTTTTTTTTTCAACTGGGTTTTCCTTTTCTCTGAAAACCATGAAAATAAGTTTTCCCAGCTCCTCAATAAAGGTGGTTTGTGTCTTAGGAGCATAGCTTATGATCTCACCCCTCCCCCTCTTCCCACTCCCACACACTTAAAATACTTATAGATATTACAATATACTAATATTTATACTTAAAGGTAATGCTGGGAATAATCAGCACAGAATCATGGGTTTTATTTTGTTGGTTTCTCTAAGGGACTTTAGAGATCAGTCCAACTCGCTCATTTTAAGGTTGAAAAAACTAAAGTGCTGAAAGGTTATTGGCTCAGGCCTCTCTGTTATTAGTGGGAGTGCAAAAGCTAGAATCCAGAGCTTTGACTTCTAGTAAGATGTGTTTTGCACACACAGAAATAACTTTTTCAAGGGGAAGACTTTCCTAGTTAAAATGTTGATTGATTCACCTCATGACCCCTTTGTGCAAGTATTTGATGTCCAAACTATTAAAAAGAAAATTTTGTACCAAATATAAAGAGTAAGCACATTTCATAGCCAAGGACTTTTTTTGAAGAACCTACTCTTCTGAGGTTATTAAGGTAGAGAGTATTCACATCTGTCAGTAGATGGACTTTATATTGTTACAGGAAATCTCTTAAATTAATATTTTACCATAAATGATTTAAATTTGTTTTACTATCTTAAATTATATTTGAAAATAGATTAATTTCTGAATAATGAAGTACAAATATCCGTATAGAATATTCTCAGTTGCTAGTATACAAACTCTTTTGGGTTCTGTTGCTGTGTCATTATTCAGCAAGTAAGCAGTTGAGGACGTAGGTGGTTAATAGATAACTTCATGTAAGGATCAATCTGAATATTAAGAGCTTATGTCACAACAGCACTAATTTAATATTAAAAAATGCTTTAGAGCCTAAATATGTTAGGATTTTATTTTTCAGATGCTACTTTTAAAATAGCCCTGGGAAATATATGTAGCCATGAACTACAGACTTGATTTCTAAAAATGTTTCTAGAAAATACATTATAAGTGTGGAATTTAATTATATGAAGTACTATAAATCTGGCTTGCCCAAGCCTTTGTTAAATTGACTTATTTATATTAGTTCATTCTTAATATTTTACTTTATAATATTCAACACTTTATAATTGATAATTTGCTTATATTCCATATAAGGAATAATCTTATATTTAAGTATTGTGATATAAGTAGACAAAATTATTTTACACAAAATATAATAAACATTGAATTTTTAACAATTTTCGGAATAACTTCAAAAATTTTGGTGCCCAAATCTGACTGATCAAAAATATTTTCCTTCCACTCAACATTGACTAATCACTAAAATGACGCTTTTAGGATGTTTTTTAGATAGTTCTTGGACTAACAGAGTCAACATAGCAGCTTCTGATTCATCTAACAACATAAATTGAATAGGATTTTAATATGAAACCAATTTTTGTTAAAGCTATACACTTCATAATCTGCTAAGCTCAAAATATATTTAAAAATTTTAACTTTAAACATTTATAATAAATTTGAATCACAACAAACCCTTGATGAAGTAAAGCGAAAGCTTTTTTTACCACAGTGACTCTTAAAAAAGAAATATCTATCATTTTAAACAGAATTACAAAAGAAAAGGTGAAGAAAGTTGGAAACTTTAAAATCATTAAAGGAAATTGATAGCAAAACTGGATAGTTCAGTCAAAAGCATATACTTAGAACCCAATTTGTATAATGATATAGCCAGTAAGCCTCTTCCTGAAGTCCTTGAGCTTCTATTGTCTAAATTTCTTAATTCTTTTTGCCAATTAGATATCATTACCTTAATAATAATTCACATTTAAAAATTTTTTTTTACTATACTTTACTCATTTTGGTGTTTTTTACAGTTTTTTTCAGAAAATTTTCCAGATAGGCTATAGAAAAATAAAATACAGTAATTTTTTTCAAAGCATTTATTCTACTAAAAGCAATCACATATGAAACTAAATTGATTTATGCTTTGTATAATTCTAAATATTTTAAAGCAGTCTATTTTCAGATCCGTATTTTACACTGGGCTGGTTTTTTATGTGTTTGTTTGGTTGGTTTTGTTTATTTGTTTGTTTTATTTTAATAGCCTTTTATGTCACCTCGGTACCCTGGAGGTCCAAGGCCCCCATTGAGGATACCTAACCAGGTAAGATTTATGTGCTATTTAAGTTTGTGTTTGTTTGTTTGTTTGTTTGTTTGTTTGTTTAAGAATCAATAAAGATATGGAAAATGTCACAAATATTTTTACCTATGAAAATATTAAATTATCCTTTATCCCATTTAATGCTACTACTAATAATATATAATCTACATCAAGGGTTGGCCAACTATGATCTATAGGTTGAGTGACTGTATTGTAAATAAAGTTTCATTGGAACACAGCCACACTTAATTCATTTATGTATTGTCTGTGGCTTTGAAGGAAGATCAAGTGATTATGAGAGAGACCTGCAAAGTTTGCTGACTTTTGGAGTCTACCATGCACTTTGAACCTAATTTTTAAATATTTATAATTTTCATAAATGTCAGTTATACTCTCATTTAAAGAATGGCAATAAACTTTTCTATGAGCATATTTTGGTTTATTTTTCAAATATGTTTTCAGTATCATGGCTATAACATTTATATCAATTTTGCCTAGTTATATTGACATACCAGGCATATATGTAGCTGCTTCTAGAAGGGTTAGATCTATTCATAAATAATTAACAATGGATCTTCCAACTTTTTACCAAAAAGAAGCTCTGAGATTTTATAAACTTTTGTTCTTGGATAGTTTTTTTGTTTGTTTTTTTAATCAGCATCATAAATATTTATTTGCTGAAACAAATAAAGTGTAGTTTTTATTTGCAAGAAATATATAGTTTAACTTTAGGATACAGATAACACAAAAATAAATTAAATGTTTAACTGTATGGTATAGTTATGTCAAGATAATTGTTTTGTCACTTTCTCTAATGCTGTTATTTGTATACCTCAGCATTCCCCCAGATTTAAAGTAAGCCCGTTATCACAACAAGTTCTCATTTTCATTCTTGTGCTTTATTTTCCTTCTTGACCAACAAGATAAGAAAGTTGTGCTTCCTAATACATTTTATGGAAACAGAGTCTGCTTCTCCCTCAACTCTTACTGAAATTATGCAGAGTCCTTGAAGTGTCCTAGTTTGCTGGCTCTCTGCTTCTGGTGCATAGTCAGGGGTGCCAGCACCCCCTCTAACTCCCCGGGGACAGCATTAAGCAGAAAGCAGTGCTGGAAGTCCTCACATTAGCAGCTGGAGGAGTTTTCTCCTTCAGACTGAATTTACATTCAGAACGTGGGGCTGTGGGAACATGCATGAAATAAGAAAGAGACGTGCACAGATGCCAAGTGTTCGAGCATAGGGAATTTGATTTTCTCTGTGGGTGAACCTGTATATATTGCCAGGTCTGTGTATAGAGGTGCCTGAGTCTTTTACATTTTTTTTTCAAGAGACAAGAAGTTGTATCTTTTATTGACGTCTTCATGGTGTTTCAGATTTCCCATCCATCACTTTGTATGTTACATACATCTCAGAGGTTCCTGAAAATCTGAAAGAGATGTGTACGTCTTGTAGTAGTACATTTTTAGAATTTTTGACTTCCATGCATTCCATATCAATGATGAAAATCTGACAGAATCATTAAAGTTGGATCCATTTGACCTTGTTGAAATGTCGGCTATTTATAGGACACTGTGCTAGGTTCCATATCTATAGAGACTGACAGCATGAAACACTTTAGGAAGAGGAGTGGGTTGTTTGTGAGCATGTGGAGTTGTAAATCTAGAATTTTTTTAAAGAACACGTTTGTAATGCATTTGGATTTATAAAAGAGGCAATTAAAGAGTTAAAGGTAATAAAGAGTTATGATACAAGCTCTTTTTCCTCAAGAATTTCAAAGTCTTTACCTAAGGACATTTTAAAACAACTGTACTCTTCTGTGAGTGGCTCCTTTTTTGTCCCCCCAACAACAAATATTTAGTTAACTTTATTAATTCAAACATATAACTTGCAAATTTATAATAATTTACATTTATACTATTTTTAAAAATAATTCTCTAAGCATATTAATTCTGTTAATAGTGTAAACATACAGTTTTGGAAATGTTGAACCTATTTAAGAGCATGACCCTTTCAAGCAACAAAATAGTTCTTCAGTTTCATTATGTAGTCATTAAAGTGGATTTGGCAAAACTGTTTTTGGTGATTCATTCAAATGATGTATAAAAAAACCACACATATATTAAACTAGAGGCCCACTGCACGAAATTCGTGCATGGGGTGAGGGGTCCCTCAGCCCAGCCTGCACCCTCTCCGCTCTGGGACTCCTTGAGGGATGTTCAATTGCCCGTTTAGACCTGATCCCACTGGGCAGTTGGTCATCCCTCTCACAATCTAAGACTGCTAGCTTCCAACTGCTCGCTTGCCTGCCTTCCTGATTGTCCCTAACCACTTCTGCCTGCCAGCCTGATCACCCCCTAACCACTCCCATGCCAGCCTGATTGGTGTCTAACTGCTTGTTTGCCCCCAACTTCCCTCCTCTCCCAGCCTGGTCACCCCTAACTGCTCTCCCCTGCAGGATTGATCGCCTCCAACTGCCCTTCCTTGCAGGCCTGGTCCCTTTCAACTGCCTTCCCTTGCAGGCCTGGTGCCTCCCACCTTCCCACCCCTGCTGGCCATCTTGTGGTAGCCATCTTGTGTCCACATAGGAGCAGGATCTTTGACACATGGGGCAGCTATCTTGTGTGTTGGAGTGATGATCAATCTGCATATTACTCTTTTATTAGATAGGATAGAGGCCTGGTGCATGGGTGGGAGCCAGCTGGTTTGCCCTGAAGGATGTTCTGGATCAGGGTGGTGAATCATTTGGGGCGTTGGGCCACCTGGGCGAGGGGCCTGTGGTGGTTTGCAGGCCGGCCATGCCCCCTGGTGACCCAAGTGGAGGCCCTGGTATCTGGAATTTATTTACCTTCTACAATTGAAACTTTGTAGCCTGGAGTGGAGCCAAGCCTCCTGCTCCCACTGTTTCTGTTTGGATTTGTTTACCTTCTATGATTGAAACTTTGTATCCTTGAGTGGAGGCCTAGGCCAGCCAGTGTATGTGGAAAGCTTGGCTTCCTCTATTGCCGGGGAAACCCAAGCCTCTCAACTGCTCTCTGTGGCTGCAGCCATCTTGGTTAGGGTTAATTTGCATACTCATTCTGATTGGCTGGTGGGCATGGTTGGTGGATGTAGCAGAGTGATGGTTAATTTGCATATTGCTCTTATTAGGTAGGATAGTTTTTATTTGGTCTTCATTTATAGTGATCATAAACTAATGAAATTTTATTGATAGATTGTGTCTAAAAAAAACAAAAAGTGAAATATTAATCTCTTTAATGGTGTTGATTATTCATTTGGAATATATTAATAGACATTCCTTTAATAAACAGATTCTTCAGAATTTTTCATGATTAGACTATAGATTTTAATAGAATGTCTCCTGAGATAGTTTTCATGGTTCTGGACTAAATTCACAATAGTTTATATTTATACTGTTTGTATATTCATAGAACTGAGTATTTAGAATATGGTGCAATATCACTATGCCAAAAAGTATATGAAAGAGTCTCTAAAATGATGAAAGGAAAGTCAACTTATAAAATATACAATTTGGTAAAGAGTAAATATACATGAGAAAACAGATGAAGCACAAATGTTAAGTCCAAAAACCATTTTAACTCTCCTATTTTATACTGGAATTGGGTCAGCAGTCAGAATGGGCCATTGGTGTTGAAGTGTCCACAACCTGCAGCAGAATAGGTCTTTATCCTTCTCATAGATAAAATGTCTAATCAGAAAAATTCGCAATATTCATTCAACACCATGCTGAGAAAACCAAGGTAGCCAGAAATACACACTGTTAATGAGTGACACCAAGAATAAACAATTTGATTTATTGATCCTATAGAATTTTGAGAATTTACACTCTATTTCTGACCATTCCTAAAACTCTATCAACAGGTATATGAATAGAAGTAACACATAATTAATGCTAATGACAACTTTATATTAAAGAGCTGATTTGGGTACATAATGTCTAACTATTTTGCTGAAACTCTCAAAGATATTAGTCCAATCTATATATATAAAAAGCCAGTGACAGGCACACCATAACAACCAGAATGACTGGTCGTTATGATGCCCATTGTGGCCAGCAAACCAGCTAGATCAGGGGATGGGTGCCTACTGGCCCCCTTCACTCCAATAGGAGGCGGGGCCTTAGCCAGTCCCATCCCAGATTGCCACCCCTTACCCCAATAGAGGGTGGAGACAGCCAACTGCCTTCTGCTCCTCCCCAAAATCAGCCCCACCCCTGATGGGCCCCCACCACTCTGATTGGCCTTCAGCCCCTCCCCCTAGCCAGCTCCACCATTAATTGGCTGGCCAGTCACCCACAGACCCTACCTTTGCATGAATTCATGCACTGGGCCTTCTAGTAATAAATAAATGGTTAAATAAATTGTGGTATATCTAAATTGTGAATACTATGCACCTATTAAAGGGCATGCTATAGAATTAAATTTATAGATATGACATAATGTTTGTGATCTATTAATAAATAAGAAAAAGAAAGCACAAGCTGTATATAGTACATAACCTTTGTTATATTACTGTACATACTCCGCAAATTTCCTCCACTCATGTGCCTCCACCCATAAACATACATTTGTCACAAAGAGTATGAGGACCATATTCTTTATTTCTGAGTGGTAAGATTATGAGTGATTTTATTTTTATTTTTAAAGTTTGTGTTGAGCAGGTAATAATTTGTGATTAGAAAAAAATTTATTGGTTCTGGTTATCCCATGTAATATGTAAGATTATCCTTTATTAATATTGAATGTATAGTTTTTACAATATAAAAGGAAAAGATAATAGATGTTGAATATAGACAAATCTTAAAAAGGCTTTACTTCATCACTTTTCAGGTAGGGAAAAAATCAGCAGGCATTTGAGCAGGGGAAAAAAAATCATTGGGACATTTAGTTTTACACTGAAAGTAATTTACTATAGTCCCATATAATCAAGGTATTTTAAACAAGTTACATACTTACATACTTAGTCTTTTTCACATGTTTTCATATCC